TAAAATAAAAAATCTACAAAAAAAATTTCAACAGTTCAAAATTTTGCAAAAAAAATATTTTTTTGTTTCTACATAACATGAAATACAATTATTTTAAATTCCACTAAAACTTCAGTAATTTTAGTATAATTTCACTGTTTTCAAGTTAGTTATTATAATTCCAAATTAATTCCTTTAATTACAAACTAATTCTTATAATTTATTGTAAGTTGAAAAAGAAAATTACCAGTGTTTTAGCGAAATTCAAACTACAAAAAACTGACCTAATTTTCAAAAGCTTCATGCTACAAATTCTTTTTTTTGCCAAATGTTTTCCGACATTTCCATGTAATTACTAAAAAAGCTCTTATAATTCCAAAAAAATCCTAGTAGTTCCAGACTATTTCAATAATACCAAATACTTTTAAATAATTTTGGCAATTTTATTAAATTCCAAATACTTGTACAACTAAATTCAAGCAAACAAGGTTGTCATAATTTAAAAAATCCCATTTTTTATTTTTTGTTAATCTTAAGCTTTTTTCCTAAATAATTCCTAAAACGATAATTTTTTCGCCTTGATTCGTCAAAATCTTCTAAATTAAAGTCTCTGACGATATAAAATCTCTCGGAATTAACTGAAAAAGCGCAATACATATCCAAAACATCCTTTTTTAACTTTTTTCAGCAAAATCTTTTATATTGGGTAAATTTCTAGCTCAAAAAAAAACATGATTTGTTATAAATAAATTCTACAGCACTTACCGTTTTAAAATAAAACACTCTGTAGGTAGAAAAAAAAACAGTAAGCCACAAAAAACAGACCTAATTTTCAAAAGCTCGACGCAAAAAAAATTATTCTGCCAAATGTTGTCCGACATTTCCATGTAATTACTAAAAAAGCTCTTATAATTCCAAAATAATCCTAGTAATTCCAAATAATTTTAATAATACCAAATAATTTTAAATACTTCTGTGTCAATTTTATTAATTCCAAATATTTGTACAACTAATTCAAAAAAACAAGGTTGTCATAATTTAAAAAAGCTCTTTTTTTTAATTATTTAACTTTTAAGAAATATTATCACTTTATTATCCGTACAAATGCAACAACAAAATTGTTATAGTTTTAAAGTTTGTACTTTTTTCTTTGTACGTGTGAAAAATTTGCTAACTCTTAGTTTTTGTGTAATAATTTTTCAAAAGAGTGTTTTTGTCAAGAAAACTAACTTATTTTAAAAATTAAGCAAAATTGACCAATAGATGTTTAACTTAAAAAAACTGTAATAAAAAGTTACATAAAAAATACCAAGAAACATAATAAAAAATAAGGTTGTCATAATTTGAGAAATCCTAGTTTTTACTTTTTGTTAATTTTACGCTTTTTGCTACATAGTTATTTACATTTGATTTTTTAAATTTTTTAAATCTGCCATAATTTGCTGAAATAACGACATTTACACCCAAAACGATAATTTTTTGGCCTAGTTTGGCAAAATCTTCTAAATTAAATAAGTTTCTAGCTCCCAAACGATAAAAAAATCTCCCGGAATTAACTGAAAAGTCGCAATTCGTATCTAAAACAACTATTTTCTAACTTTTTTCAGCAAAATCTTTTAAATTGGGTGAATTTCTGGCTCATAAATTAACTAAATTTTTTGCAGTTCAGTGAATTGTTTCTCATTCAAGTTGCTTCTCAATTTTTTTGAAATTAATAATGTCAAAATATAATTTGAAGTCCTTTTTTTATGTTACTCTGCATTTTTTTATACAAAAAGGAATGTTTTAACCCAATTTTTTTTTATTAATTCTAGTTGTGTCTCCAATTTTCATTTTATTTTATTTATATCTTTTGTGTAATAATAAAAATAATAGTACAAGTTTGAATTAAACAAAACTTGAAGCTTTTGCTATTTTTTTTCTACATAAAGACTTATGTATGAACTTTTAAATGGTTTCCATCTTCCGGAATTGATTGAAATAACGTAATTCATACCTGAAACCACAATTTTCTAGCGAAAATGAAAAGCTAAAGTACAAACATTTAAAATATTGTTTTTTCAAAATTTTGCAAGAAAAGAGGCCCAGTTTTTTTACATAGCATTTAAATTTCTAAAGTAGTCTTTTTGTTATAAAAAATATTTTTTATGCAAATTTAATTTTTAAACCGATTATTAATATTACAAAAACTTCATGACTCGTGTTCTAGTCCTTTGAGGAAAAATCACAAGACGATTTAAAAGTTTTAAAAAACAAAATTAGAAAATTTTAACTGAAGAAAATCAATTTTTTGCGTTGATACTTTCAGGTTTTTCGCACAATAAAATTCGAATCGAGTGTTATTTACGCCGATGTGATTCAGTAAACCGCTTGGTTTATTTTTAAGACTAGACGGCCATTTCGCCGAAAACCGACACTGTCTTCCCCAGAAATTGGTCATTAAATCAGGATGAACCTCATAAATGTTTACGAGAATTCAAAATCAGGCTACAATTACTAGAACCATTAAATGTTCTATTGTCGAGACACACTTTTCAACAATAATTTACCGACTTGTTAGTTCCGGTCAGACTAAATAGTGTGGAGTCAAAACTCATTTACTCATTTCTAAACAGTTTTGCGTTGGCGAAGACTCGACGAAACGTTGCATCATTTTATTGATTCAACTCGATTTCTGGCTTAAAATTGAGCCAAATTGGTTCATTTTGGCCTAAAAAGCAATTATTCTGTGTTAAAATCGAGCAATTTTTTTTGGAAATATCTCAAATTACTTTATTTTGGAAGAAAACTCTTAAATACTTTGATTCAGGTTGATTTCTTGCTTAAA